AATAGGATTCTAAAAAACATACCTGGTTTTTTGCTGTTGTCCTTCCAGGAAAAGCTAGCCAGTAACACTCTGTTTTGGAAGCTGGTGCTGGGGACCTCAGGGGGAAGCTCCTTCAGACATCTGGGAAGACACCTGGCTTTGCGCTTCCGGCTACGCCTAAACCTGCGCTCAGGCATCTGTTTCCCAGGTAGCCTTGACTGCTGGGTGAATCTCATGAAATCAAGTTGTCTGGAGCCTTACAGCAAGCCCTCCACCCATTAAGAGGGACCTAGCAAGGAAAGGAAAGGGATCTGTTCCTCAGCTTCACAACCCTCAACCTTTTATAGGCCCTCTCGCAGTGGGTCCAAAAGGAGGGTCTGAAATCCTTGCTTCATTTGCATTTAAAGGTTTACTTAAGGCGTGGCTCCAGAACAAAACAACCAATGAGACTACTACTCTAAAGAAATTTTGAAGCCTTGCCTTTTTTTTGAAATATGGTGCAAAAACTTCCGCATTAGAACTTTCACTCCAAATATTCACTATGACACCTTGCTAAAGGGATAGATAAATAGATAGTTAGAATAAATTAAGCTATAGTCAAAATAAATGTCTGCTATTTACACATGTGCATTTCATCTTCTCTTTCATTCTCTGAAGATTTAGCTCTTAACTGGGGCCTACTGTTGGCTTCTGCCTTTTACCTTGGTGGCTACCGAATCGGCCCACTTTAGATAATATCCTTATAATTCTTTTTAATCCTCACCCTAGGATATGTTTTATTATTTTAGAAGAAGAGATACATCAATGTGAAAGAGAAACATTGATCATTTGGCTAAATTACTTGAAGTATAATCATACAATGAAAAACTCTGCAGAAATAAAAAAAGAACTGATTATTGACACATGCAACAACATGAATGACTCTCACAAACATGTATGATCCTACTTACATGAAATACAAGAAGAGGCAAAACTAATCAATGGTGCTAGAACTCAGCATCACAGTGACCATCTGATGGGAGTGTGCTGTTTTGGATGGGGCATGAGAGAACTTTTGGGTGCTGGAAATGTTCTATTAGTTGGTGTGGGTCTGCATAGTGATTGTGAGATGTGTATGTATGTGAAAATTATCAAGCAGTACAGTCAAGATTAGTGCATTGTACTGTATGTAAGTCCATTCTTGTTATTCACAGTAGTTGGCTTGGAAGCCATTTTAAACAGTAAAACCAATAAAAAATCTTCCCTGGCTGATGAGACTCAGTGGACTGAGTGCTGGTCTGCAAACCAAAGGGTTGCTGGTTCAATTCCCAGTGTAGGGCACATGCCTGGGTTGTAGGCCAGATCCCCAGTACAGGGCATGCAAGAGGTAACCATACATTGATGTTTCTCTCCCTCTCTTTCTCCCTCCCTTACTCTCTCTTTAAAAATAAATAAAATCTTTTAAAAATACATAAATAAATAAATAATCTAAAAATGCAAAAATAATGCGGCACTAAGTAGATCACAAGTAGGACACTGTTTACATTACCAGAGCGGAAAACAAAAGGCAGATCGTTGGTTACATTGTTCACCTTCAGCTGGGAATTTGCCTCTCCAGCAAGTCATTTTTACTGCTTTGCACATGTCTATTAATGACCATAGTAGCACCATGAATTTGATATGAGGGCGACAAGTCATGATTCCACCACAATCTAGCTGTGAGGCCTTGAGACAAGATACCCTCTACATCTTTAAAAAAAAAAAACCAAGAAACAAAACAAAACTAAAACCTCTTTTAAAACAATATTTGCTGCTGCTGCTGCTGCTGCTTCTTTTTTCTTTGTGTGTGTATGTAAAAGTGCGGTTTCTTAACAAGCATAAATTTACCGTACAACCAGTCACTCCACTCTTAGGTATCTACCCAAAAGAAATGAAAATATACAACCTGACAGACTTGTGCACAAACACTTGTTGCTACATTGTTCATAATAGCCAAACACTGGATGCAATAGAATGTCTATCAGCTAGTGAATGGAATAAAACAGGGTCTATCATACAATAGAATATTATTCAGCTGTAAAAAAAGAATAAAGTTTTGATATCAGCTACAATATGTGTGAAGCTTGAAAACATGATGCTAAGTGAAAGAAGCCAGATGTAAAAGGCCACACATTATAGAATTTCATTTCTATGAAAGGTTCCGATTAAACAAATGCATAAAGACAGAAAGTGGATTAATGGTTGCCTGGGGCTGGTGGAGTGAAGGGGATTAGCTGTAAACGGACCCAATGTATCATTTTAGAGTGATAGGTTCTAAAATTAGATTATAATGATGGTTTCCCAACTCTATAAACTTTCTAAAAATCATTGAATTGTACACTTTGAATGGGTTGATTTTGTCATGTAAATTATACCTCAATAAATTAAAAAATAAAGCACTTCCAATGTTGATGTATAAAATCTGCTGCAGATATAACTATTAGTTATATATGCATGCGGCTATTTGAATAATAACTACTTACAAAAGCATGCTATGGCCCTGACTGGCGGGTCTCTGTTGGTTGGGCATCATCCCAGAAACCCAAATTGTCGTGGGTTCAATTCCTGGTCAGGACACATTCCTGGGCTGCAGGGTCAGTCTCTGGTTTGGACGCACATGAGAGACAACTAATCACTGTTTTTCTCCCTTTCTCCCTCTCTCCCTTCCCCTCTCTCTGATAAATAAAAATCTTTTCATTCGTTAAAAAATATTTATTTCTTTTGCACAGTTGGTAGGAATGTGGATACGTACAGTCACTGTGGAAAGCAATGTGGAGATACCTCAAAAAATTAAAAATTGATCTGTCTTTTGACCCAGCAATCCCACTTCTGGGAAGGAATCCTATATGAAGGAACCCAAAACACTAATTCAAAAGAACATAACCACCCCTATATTAATTGCAACGTTATTTACAATCATCAAGATATGGAAGCAGCCCAAGTGTCCATTAGTAGATGAGTAGGTAAAACATGGGAGATTTACACAATGGAATACTACTTGGCTATAAAAAATAAGAAAATTTTACCCTTTGTGTGACAGTATGGATGGACCTTGAGAACATGCTAAGTGAAATAAACCAGTCAGAGAAAGACAAATATGATATGATTTCACATATATGTGGAATCTAATGAACAAACTGAACTAACAAGCAGAATAGAGACAGACTCATAGATGGAGAGCAGGATGACAGCAAAGGTTGGGGAGAGGTGGGGGGATGGAGGGATTAAGCAAAAAGAAAGAAGGACTCAAGGACACAAGGACACGGGCAATAGTGTGGTGATTGTAGTAGTGAAGTGGGGGAGGGTATAAAGGGACTAAATGGTACTCGGAAATTAATTAATTAATTAATTAAACTAATGGGGGAAATTTATTTATTAATTTATTTGGAGAGAGGGGTAAGGAGGGAGAAAGGGTAGAAACATTGACTGGGTTGCTCTTTGTATGGTGCCCTGACCGGGGACTGAACTGGCAACCCAGGCATGTGCTCTGACCGGGATTGAACCTGTGACCCTTTGGTTTGCAGGATGATGCCCAACCAACTGAGCCACACTGGCCAGGGCGATCTTTTTTCTTTTTATTTATTTTTAAAGGATGTTGTGGCCTGACAAATTGCTACTCCCTCTAAAATCCCTCACACCTAGCTACCATAGGCCCTCTGCTGTTCTCATACTTGTACACCTTTGTTCTGGTCATTTCTATGGCCTGCAGGTGGAATCCTTGTCATTTTTTCTGTTTCTTTCTCAGACTTCTACTCTTTTTGATGTCTTCCCTAGAGACCTTACTCTCTATACCCTCTCTCAACCTCCCCACCCCCACAAATAACTGATTATTCTCACCTCTTGCTTTGTTCTGACTATAAGATAAGTAAATTCTAGAGATCTGCTGTACAACATAGAGCCTGTAGTTAAACATGGTGTTTGCACTTAAAAATTTGTTAAGAGGGTAGGCTCTAGCTGAGTAGCTCAGTTGGTTGGAGCATTGTCCCAAGATACACCAAGGTGGTAGGTTTGATCCCCAGTCAGGGCACATACAAGAATCAACCAATGAGTGTATAAATAAGTAAGACAAACAAAGAAAATCAGTCTCTCTCTCTCAATTCAATAAAAAAAAAATTAAGAGGGTTGATCTCCAGTTAAGCGTTCTTGCTGAAAGAAAGAGAGAGAGAGAGAGAGAGAGAGAGAGGAGCAGAGGGACACAAGAAATCTTTGGGGGATGATGAATATGTTTATTGCCTTGATTGTGGCAATGGTATCAGGGGTATAAATATATAAACTCATCAAAATGTATATATTAAATATGTACCAGTTTTGTACAGTAAGGATACAAAAAAAGCTGAAAAAAGCATGTGATAGAAAAATAAATACAAAACAGTGCTTTGCACATTATTTCAAAGAAAAATTTTTTAAATATATCTTTCGAACCCACTATTTTGAGCTTCATGTCACTTTCAGTTTGTTACCCAAGGTGCTGTAAAACTACATGACATCTGGGGGGACTTAAAGCATGGGCATCAGGAAGGAAGGAAGGAGGACAGGCAGGCGGGAAGGAGAGAGGACAATGTGGATTCATTCATTAATTTCTTCAGCAAGTGTTTACTTAACATTCATATGTGTCTGACACTGTGCTGGACACTGGGAACAAGAGTATGAGCCAAACAAATCTAGCAACCCATTCCAGAAATAGGCGAGCTCCTGGAACTGAGAGGGTTTACAGGCTAACCAAAGTCAGTTGAACTCATTTCTTTCTAAATCCAATTATTTTCAGCTGTGTACATGATGCCACCAGCAGGAGATGATTCATCTACAAGCATTCCTTTGGCCTTATTTTCTCATAGAAGAGACGGACAAGAAGTGACTGTATCTTTGAGTGCCAGGAAGAGAAACAAGGCAGGTGGAAGGAAGAGAGTGGCAGAGGGGGTGCTTTCAGAGATGGTGGTCCTAAGGAGGAGCCATAGAAACTAAGAGTCAGATGCCCTGGTATCACTGACCACCAGCCCCGCTACCATTGGGGAAGGCCTCTTGGCGCCTAAGCCTTTGGATTCTGGGAAGTGGAGACGCCGATGATAGTCCCTGGAGTTATTCTCAGGTGGAAGGAAGCCACACAGGGAACCTGAGCTTTGGACGCTACTGTCATGAGTACACTGACAGAGCTGGAAGCCCTGCGCTTCTAGGACATCTCTTTCAGATTCTGACATTGTGCCACAGACTGAGAAAGATCAACTCACCTCTATTCAGAAAGTCCAAGATAACAATAATAATAATTTGTTCAGGTAATTAATCTCCCACTCTGTCAGTTCCACAAAGCAGAAAGAGCTTCCTCAGCCTCCTTGCCACCTCTCCAGAGCCTGCACAAAATTGGGGCTCAAAGACTATTTAATGAATGAATGAACGAATTTAAAGACAAGATGTGAGAAAATGTCCTGTGTTGTGTTTTTACCTTGGAAGCCACTTAGAATAGAATAAGACCAGGCAGGGCCTGGGGTGGTGAGGGTGGGGCAGAGGGAAGGTGTGGGTCTCCTCCACCCTTCTCTGTCTCCGTACGGCAGCACAGAGCAGACATTCAAGAAATGTGCATTGGAGGAGTGAGTGGATGTTCTGCCTGGTCCTCTCTGTCCTTGGAAGTCAGATATCTGTCCTATTTCACTTCCAAGACAGAAGCACATTCACATGTCTTGTGCATGGGCTTTGCTCATGTCTTGTCTTCAAATTCTTCCATTCATTCACCAGGGGCCTGAGGGACCAGCTGAGACTTTGATGGGCTGAGCTGCTGGAGTAGAAACAACTAAGCACCCATTTAATCCTGATGTGAGCACGATGGCAGCTGATTCAGACCCAGCAGACCCCGCACTCATCTTCCTCTGGGCACATCTGCTACTGGAGGGGTGGCACACAGCTGAGAGGAGAAAGGAAACAGGACAGCATGCCCCAAACCCTGACCTTATGCCGAGATGCTCACGACATCCCTAATATGGACTGTAATTTTCTTCTCCCTGCTGAGGTTCTCTACAAAGAGAGAGCAGTTTTCAAAGTCAGTGAGCACAAGATCCCTGGAGAGTGTTAAAATACAGATTCCTCAGTTCCACCATAGATCAGGCTGGGCTGGGGCTTGGACATCTAGTTTCCACCAGCCCTCCTACCAGACACCTTCCCACCTCCCCAGACCCCCCCAAAATGACTCCGATAGAGCTGGTGTTGGATCACTCTTTGGGAAATCCTAGGAATATAAAATGCTATTTTTATTTCCAATGGGGATAGCTAAGCTGGGTGTGAATTCTTCTCTCTTTATTCACATTTAGATGGAATCAATTAGGTCTAGAAAATGTCTGAGCTCTTAATTTCCTATCACTCCTCTTGAGATAATGGTAAAAGCCAGAGCAAACATTTATTCAGGATCTACTAGGCAAATTTGCGTAACATTGCATCTACATTTGCATTTTTATCCTCACAACACATCCAGGAGACAGCACTATAATTATCATCTTTATTTTTCAAAGGAGGAAACAGATAACCTGTCCAAAGTCACCCATCTGATAAAAAGCAGAGCTGGTGTTTGAACTCAAGGCTGTCTGCGTGCGAAACTGCCATGCTATGCCTCCTTCATACACCAGAGACCTTGAACAGGTGGCAAGTTCCAACATGCAAGATGAACAGCAAGTGCGGGCACCCCTGGGAAAATATTTCCCAGAGCATACATAGATTTGTCATTGAGACCTCATTTGTCTTTTGCTCCAGCCATGACAGAGACCTCTTTCAGACACCCCTTCAACTCCTAGGATGCTGTTGAATGTTGGTGGAGATTGAATTGGTTAGGAATTTGATGCACGGAGCTGGGGTGGTCAGGACCTTTTGGAGTTTGGATCCAAAAGGCATTCGGTTTGTTTTCAGCATGGCGCCACCTAGAAGAGGGTAGATATTACTGCTATATATGTTCAGACAGAGAGATCAGGTTGGCCTGAGTGGAAAGATAATATGGGCAGCAGGATCACTACCTGGTGGTCCCCTCTCGCCTCTGCAGAAGTCAGAGATGTCTCAGGGAGATCATACCTATTTTTGTCCCCTACAATTTGTGATGGCCACATGTACTATGTATGACAGGGTGGTTCATGGCAGAGAGAGAAGACACAACCTCTTCTTTCTCTGAAACAGACAGAATGAGAGCTGATGTGTAGCTGCCCCTGTTATGACTTCCTAAGAGAAGCACTATAGTGGGCAGGATCATGACCTCCTCAAAAGAGTCCACATCCGAATCCTGGAACCTGTGGATACGCTATTTTACATAGCATGGGGGAATTTAGGTTGCTAATCAGCTGACCTTAAAATAGGGGTTGGTATCCTAGATTATCCAGGTAAAACGAAGATAATCACAAGCTTCTTAAAAGAAGGAAGAGGGAGGTGGAAGAGTCAAGACCAGGGATACGAAATGGTGAGAAATATTTGGCCAGCCTTCACTGGCTTTGAAAAATGGAAGGGTGGGCATGAGCCAAGGAATGTGTATAACCCCTTAGAGAAGCCGGAAAAGGCATGAAAACAGGTTCTCCTCTAGAGCCTCAAGAAAGATATGGCCCTGATGAAAGCTTCTTATTAGCTTTATGAGGTCCCCCTGGGAGAATTCTGACCACCAGAGTTGTAACAAAATACATTTGTGTTGTTGAAGCCACTAAGTTTTTGTCACTTTTTTATAGCAGCCATAAGAAACTAATACTGGCCCAGAGCGTGAACGCTGGGCATGATGCTCAGGGGCCCTTGTGTAGTGAGGAAACTGCTTAACCACCCACGGCCTCCATATATCCTCTACCACACCACACAGACAGAGAGAGAAGGACACTGTGTGGCCAGGACTGAGCTCTGGAGATGCCGCAGTCCTTGGGGTAATCCAGAAGCAGAGGACGTCAGGCTGAAGAGAGAATGAATCCAACATGAAGACAGAAACAAAGCCAAGAGGCTCCTGAAATGCAAATCAAGTCCTTATTTCGGATGGCTTTCCAATTCTGGACCCTCCTGAGGTTCAGCAAGCAGCTACACGTCCTTATAGTGAGCCCTCCCCTTTTCTTAAAGTAGCTGCATTCCTGCTTCAGCAGGCTCCTCCCAACCCAGGAAGCATTTGGTTACAGCCATCATTCCCCTGGGCTGACAGGAAGACAATTTTGCCAAACACCCCAGGGAGGTGAGATTCGGATTATACCATCCGAAGGGGTGTGGTGTTGCTGGTGTCCCTGGAAGCTGTGATGAATAATGATGTTTGAGTCTCTGTGGTTGATGGATGAGAATTTACCTACCTCCCCCTCACCTGAACCACAGCCATTCTAGGAAAGCAGCTCTGGTACGACAGTGGCTTCTATAAGGAGAAGCCTCTGTGGTATATTAAAAGAAATTCCTTCAATGAGCCCTAAAAGAGTCTTGCTAAACAACCTGACTCCAGGCCTTTCCTGTTTTCCTAGGCCATAAGGCCCAGGATTTTGAGTTAATAGCCAGCAACGTGGTAAATGTGGCTCTTTCTCCTTTCCCTGGCATGTGGGGTAAGATTTTTTTAATATCAGGCCCGTGATTTCATAATACTGATTGACCTACTGTGCAAATATAGGTTAACCTTGTGTAAGTGAAAATGTCTCCTCTCACCCTGGCTGGTGTGGTTCAGTGGATTGAGCACCAGCCTGCGAACCGAAAGATCGCCAGTTTGATTTGGTCAGGGCACATGCCTGGGTTGCTGGCCAGATCCCCAGTTGGGGGTTTCCGAAAGACTAGTGATTGATGTTTCTCTCACACATCGATGTTTCTCTCCCTTTCTTCCTTCCTCCCTTCTCCTCTCTCTGAAAATAAATAAATAACATGTTCTCTGTCTGGGCACATACCCATGATGGGGATGGAGCAAAGGGTTGCAGTCCTTGTCTGACATTGCTATGTAATTAACCATTGTTTATTTCCACCTCCCTTTCTCCACTTCCTCTGGGAGAACTTCATGTGTTATCCCTTCCTTTCTTCTCTCCAAGTGGTTTAGTTTGGTTAGAGTAGTTCATCCCCTGGGCCACTGGATTGGCATATGAAATAGGCATGTGATCCACACTGGGCCAGTCAGAATCTTCTCTAGGATTAATAGATGTCGGGATGCAAAAGGTCTAATGAGCAGCTGAAATGGGGAGAGGGGGGGATCTAAAGGCACCAGAGGTCATTGTTTCTGCTACCTGGAGAGACTACCCATGCAAAGAAAGCCAAGCAGCAACTCACAGAACAGAGAAAGAGAGAGCAAAGGAAAAAGAGAAAGCTATTACCTCTGAAGTTCCCAGTGGATTTCACCCAACAATTTATCAATTACCTTCTAGCCAAACTCTTTAGGTTTGGGATTTCACTCAAATGAGAAAGTCACATTTTGTGGGGCCTCAAGTTTATGTGATATGGAATAGCCTTTCTCAAGTAAAAAGGAAAAAGTCTAATTTCAATTGTAAAATTAGTAGGAAACAAACAGCAGGCCATATTTGCCCAAGAGCTATAGTTTGCTGACCCCTGATCTAATGCATCGAAGGGGGACATATGACTTAAAATAAAACACCTAAAACATAAAAATTACTAGGTCCCCTCCCAGGGCTTAGGAAAGAATAAGATAGGGCTCCCAACTCAAGTTGCATGACCCTCACTTTTAAGACACCTCTGTTTGCACCCAGTTAAGATCAGTAAGTTTACTTGTTTGCATCTAGTACTTTTTCTCTGGATATTGTATCAGATAAGATCACACACTGACTCATGACTACATTCATCTCTGAAGTCTGTCTACAGGGCACCTGGTAGCTGGCAAATGGTTAAGAATATTTGTACTCTTTCTTTTTTAACTGTATCACCACCTCCCCTCTGCAAAAAAAAAAAGTAAAGAAAAGAAAAACACAATTCTGTGAGTTCTCTCTCTTTTGGAAACCAGTTAGTGGTTCTCTGTACTCAATTCAGTTCCCACTAACAACATAGGTAAGCTTAATAATAGGTGCGAGCCATTGTGCTAAGTGTTTTAAAGACATTTTCTTATGTAATCTTTTTGATCACAATGGGAGACAGTCTGGAGGGGGGTGGGACACTGTTGATCTGCTGCTTAGTATCCAGTCTGTATTTTCTTGAAATCCAGAAATGCATGTAACCCATGGGGCTGAGGGCAGTCCAACTCCATCCTCAGCTGCAAGGGTGGGCTCTCCTTGGTCTATATCTGGCTAAAGTT